CGGGCTAAACAACTCATGGGTAACAAGCCTTCTCATTTTCTTCCACTGTTCTCCCCATGGAGAAAGTCCCGTTGTCAAGAATCCCCGGGTTGCATATTCAGTAGCCATGGTTATAGGTCTTGACACAAAAATAGAATCATGTTTATGCAGAAATTCTCGGGCGAGTTCTGGTGAAACTACCACTATTACATGAACTCTGCCCAGACGGATGCAGGCTATATTTGTTTTCAGTTTTTCCATTACCCCCTCTACCCATTTGAATACAGGCTTGTTTGTGTACACTTCAGGAAGGTTTCCGACTATAGGCCAGGAAAATGGACTAGGTGGAAGTGGTGGTTTATTGCTTTTGCTCGAAATTTTCCCATTGATAGTTAAAAAGATGAACATGCAAGAAAGGAGGAAAGCAGACATGAGGAAGAACATGGTGAATGACATTTGGAAATTGGTGCAATTCATTGCCTTTTAAGGTTTGCAAATTCGGGTTTTTATACACAAAAAAGTTGGAAGCCTCCAAAATTGATACCCAGAGTTCAGATTGTGATGATCTTCACACGGTACATTAAAAAAAATGAGGATAGGATTGCCTGCATCAAAGAAAAATTTCTTAGAATCCAATTCTTGTCAGTGTAACGTAGCTTCTAATAACGTACCCCTTGGACTAGAAACTCACATGTAAGATTTCATGAATATAGCTAACAATTAATCTACTTGTAATAAAATTATTTCCATCTTTGTTGACAAATGAATCATGGGCGCCACCTCATCATCTATCAACAAAGATTATAATTAAAAAAAAAAAAAAAACCTGTGAAACTTGCATAGTCTGCTTGCTACTATCAGCTTATTTGTTAAGTAATTATAATCATTTTAAATAATAATTAGATACAAATAAATGGTGAATAAATGGATATTAGTTGTAGGCTTTACAAATGTGTAAATAAAAAACAAAGTGATTAAAATACACCTACCAAACATGTTGTAAATAAAAAGCAAGTGATTAAAGAAATCTACGATATATGCTTTAATTATATGGACATAGACCTACTTTATTAATTCATCATTTAATATCACATTACATTTTTGTAAGGATATATAGCTTTACTCTTGGATAATATAGTTTTGGATGATGTCTTGAGTATATTTATATATGTGTGCGTGTGTTTACAAATAAAATAATTTATATTTTATAGTTTTAATGGCTATTTTAATTATAAGTAAAAAAGATTTTTTTTTTTTTTATTTTTTTTTATTGTACTATAACAGGAGGGTATTGACAATTATATATAACTAACTAAATTTTTATGCAAATTCGACCCCGAAAGTAACTTAATGTGTTACCAGTTAGAACCATAATATTAAAACCTTGTTATTTTCACGGCTGAGGTCTTCCATTTATTTCCCTTATGTATGTTTACTTTTGTGCCAAAGGTGTTATCAACATATTCAGCGGGCAGAACATCATACTCATAGTCAGGGTTCTGTTTATAAAATGTGTGATTGAAACATTAAAATTTGAGATATTGATCTTGTTAATACAAGTTCTTTAGATGCTACGCATAATGAGTACAAGGTGTTAAGAGATAAATTTCACATCGAATAGTTACCTAAATATAGATTAATATTTAATCATTTGATTTACTCCTCTTAACAAATCGACATATTAAGGTGAAACCTCAAATTTTAATATAATATCAAATCTCATTAAACTCAAACGAGCTATTATATTTCAATTAAGACTAAAAATGAGTGGAAGAATTTTAACATTGGACTACTTAAACAAGTCACCATCTTGGGGGACATATTGAAAAATAAATTTCATATCGGATAATTGTCGAAATATAAACCAATATATAATGATTTAGGTTACTCCTCTTAATAAGGTTGATATTTTAAAATGGAACCTCAAATCTTGATATAAAGAATTCGAATAATCTCTTTTCATCCTATAAACTTTGAGAGCCTGCTTTTTTTTAATCCATTTTGATTGATTTTGGGTAGCAACATTTATGACAGGTTGGAAAAACCAGTGTTTGCTATTTCTTTTAGACCTTGATTTTTGGTGATTTTTAAACTACTCAAAATAATTTTGGTAGTTTCTCATATTCACTTCTAATATTACCTCTTATAAAATACTTATTTCCAACTAACATATTTTGTTCATAAATAAATAAAAATACATTAAGTAAAAAATTATTTATAAGCAAATTATAATTAAAATTACTTACTTTTGTGTAAAAAATTGTTTATAAAGCAAAATACATTTAAAAAGACAAAAATTCACTTATGTGTAAAATTATTTGAAAGTATAAAATTTAACTCATAATGGTAAATTATACTTAGAAGTAAAAAATATTAACTTGAAATTTAAGTATATATTTTACTTTCTAAGTTAAATATTAATTTATAGGTAAAAAAATTAATTATGAATAAAAAATTTTATACAAGATAAACTCCCAAACATGGAATTGGTTATTTTAAAAATTGCTAATAACTAAAAATCAGTCCGTTCATAAATGTTCAACATTAATTCTTCTAAAAATGCCAATAACCGATATCCCAAAATTCCCGAGCAAACCCTAAAGTGTATGAAGTTTCATATTTTGTAAAAGATGAAAGAAAGATTTTTAGAAATTACTCCTATATGGAGAAGACCAGTCCAATTTCGTTTTAACCTACTTTTGACACGATGACGTTGTGCCATAAATTTAAAAGAATTATGGATCTGTATCCAAATTTATTAATAATAAGGCTGTATTAGTTCTTTATTGCGTCGCATGATTATATTATTCATATAATAGTTTAGTTGATATACATAATTTGACGAATTATAAATTGCATACAATAAAGAGAAAGAGTACATCACGGTTGCTATTCTT